GAGAGTTTTACCAGATGAACCACCTACCAGCCCATTTTTACTCCCTCCCCAGGCCCATTTTACATCCTTCTTACTATTCCCAAGTTAGTCTCCGAGTCTCTGTCAAATGAGGACACCCATACTCTTGTGCGCTTGTCCATGCCAACACAGAGCAATAAATGAGGAAATGTATGTCATAGCCTCAGTGCAGTGAATATCCAAGGGCGTAAAGAAGGCAACAAAGGTTAACTGTTTTATTCCATCCACATTTTTCGTTTTCAATTCCTACCATTCTACGGTGTGCTGTGCCTATCTGCCTATGTGTCATTTCCTTGTCTAAATTCTCACTTCTTTTGAGTTTTAGCTTATATCTGAAATCCAACCAGCCCTCGTACGCAGAGGCCGTCATACGCTGTATTTACATGTCTGTCCCGTTCACATCTTAGTTATCACACATACATTTCAATACTAATTTATACACACTTACTACATTTATGTTATCCATATTATGCAGATCATAGTGTGCAGAAAATACAAGTGAGATATATAATTATAGCCTGCCCTTATCATTTCGTATCTGAATAAATACAGTCTAAGTGACACTTGACAGTGCAGTAACATGCCCCGTGCTCTGTGTCCTGCAGATCCAGTTTAATTACAGCTGTACGCTGTCTAGTCTACCCTATTCTACTATCTTCCTCTCTCTAAGCAGGAAAATGTAATGTAGAAATCCTATCCCATCCTCTGGGCAGACACAATAGCCCTACCCGAACCTTGACATTCTGGTGGACAACGTCCATGGTCAGTCCAGTATGTTTGCTATGGAGTGGTGACCCTCACCCCAGGGCTACCAGTGCCTACTCTTCAGCCCTTTGCCTGCTCAGCCGGAGTCACACAAGGCACGCAGGTACCGAGCTGCTGACAGGTAGACGTAGGACCCACTTCACTTGCATTTCTCCTTAGTCCTACCATTTTAAGTAATGCTCACAAACAAATACTTTCTCTAAGCCAAACTGTTCCCATCTCCTTTAAAGGAAAAGCAAAATTACCTGACCGACTATAAAGTTGTGTGCAGATCAAACAAAGCTAGAACTATTCCAATGGCATAAAGGTACTTGTTCAGGAAAACTCACATTGAGAGCTAGAAATGAGGGCAGTGTTACCTTAAACAGGGATTCTCAACCTTCCCAACGCTGGGACCCTTTAATACAGTTCCTCATGTTGTGGTGACCCCCAACCATAGAATTATTTCATTGCTACTTCACAACTGTAAGTTTGTCACTGTGATGGATCGTGATGCAAATACGTTGTGACATGCAGGATAACCGATATGCAACCCGCAAATGGGGTCGCAGCCCACAAATTGAGAACCACCGCCTTATAGGGAGGCAGTCACTGAGGGACTTCTGAGAGAGGCTCCTGGGATGTTAGTTTGCTGGGCGTGTCCTGTTTATGAAGCTGCCAACAGGTGTGATCTTCCAGATGGATATTTTGTTTACGGCAATAAAAATGCTGACTTTTGTATCAGGTCTGCCTAAAGTAAGTGGGTAACTTTTTTACTCCAGCATCTTCTAGAAAAATTCACCTCGTCTTCATGTCGTTTTGTCTCTACCTCCTCGACTAAGAATACCATCCTATTTTTATCACAAAGACTACCCGTGTGCCTTTCCCCCCTTCATTCCTGAGTTTATGGACCAGCCAAACACAAAAGGGTTAATTCTGTATTGACGCCTTATTTATAATAGAATTCTCTATAGAAAAATAATTGCAGAAACACAGGAAATGACTTCTCCAAAGATAAGAGTGTGCTCCGGTGCCTCTTCCTGGATTCACTCCCTCAAAAGAACTCCTACAATCTGGGAGATTTAAACACTAACATTCCAACTCCAATGACCAGCAACTATGACCTGCGAGGACGATGCGGACAGAATATCCTCAGGCCTATTAGGAAATAAATAATGTGATTGGGAAGAAGGTAATGCGAACAACCGACCTATCTTCCGAATCTGGAGAGTGAACACCTCTGCCACATAAAATTAGGGCTGTTAGGAAACATCAATTCCATTTATTTAAAACCCCCCCCTTCTTTTTTTGCCCAGGTAAAAATTCCATACTAGGTGGAGTCTGGAGCACCTCCGAGAAACAGAGTTACTTTTTGGAGTAAGGACCACTTTCTCCCAAGCAAACCAATCCACCCCAGTTATCTGAGCTCTGCTAATCCGAGTGGGTCTCAGGCAGAAGCACTGGGAGAACTGACGGAAGCCGAATCGAATCAATGAATTGGAGAAAGGCCACTCTGCCCAGATTGACCTTAGAGGAGCAAGGGAAGAGGGAATCGTCCCAGAGCACAAGGAATTAACTAACTCACTCTCAAGAAGGGCCTAGTCCTCCTGGCATGGAAGAAAAAGAATAAAAAACAAAGTACCAATAAGAACGGGGGGGGGGGATAATGCCTCCTTCAATTCAAGGGGGAGTGGGGCTGGAGCTAGTCTTGAGAACTGTGGCAAATTCTAGTAAAGTAATTAAATGTCAGCAGTTCTCACTGGAGAAAGGGGGAGACATACGGGCTCACGCAGTTCCCTCTTTAGATCAGGTCTTTCCAAGCACAACCTTCATTATTTTCCTGCAAACTTTTATAGGTTGCACCTGCCTTGTGGAGCCTCACTGCAAATGAGAAAGAGAAAGCGGGGAGTAAGGTTTAAACTAACACGAGTTCATTTTTACCATTTAAAAAGTTCCTAATTTAGTTTAAAAAGTGAAGTCCAGTGGGCAAGGAGACATTTGGGGAACGGACCTGGCTCCCACCCAAGGCAGAAAGCATGACTCATCAAAGCTTCAGAGCAGACAGAAGAGGCTTCGCGTTTGTCTTGAGTTCGCCTTCGGGCCAAGAACCGCTCTCAACTGAGAAACTTCAGTGTTTTTCCTGGATGCTTAAGTCTGGCAGGGGTTCTTGGGCAAAATCCCTTGAGTCTCAGAGTCTTGATTTCCAGGTCCCCTAGGCCTTTTTAATGGTTACCTCTGGGCACTCCTGGTCTCATAACCCAAAGGGAATTGGTCCACTGGGGGGAGCTGTGTAACTTCTCTTTCCTAGCCAACTCTAGGATCACCAGGGACCACCAACCCCTATTCTCAAGAGATGTTGCTGTCCTAGAAAGAGACTGCAGGATTGGGAAAGGGTACAGTCCGGGAGAAACAGGGTTGCAATTGCTGGAGTGTATAGTCCCTGTGGACATTGCTCCCTAGGATTCCGGAAGTGGCCCCCTACCCTCTATCCCATAGGACCAAGTTGGGTTCAGGGAAGAAAAACCAGGAAGAGAGGTACACAGGGCAGAGGAGCCCAGGTGGCGGTGGGGCTGCAGGGCCGAGATGTGTGGTCCCGCAACAGTGGGTGGAAAGCCCTCCGGAGGGCTTCAACACCCTCCCCAACACACAGACACATACACAGAGGCACAGAGCCACAGACGACTCACAGACACACACACACACACACACACACACACACACACACAGCTTAGCCCCGCGGGGGTCCTGGGTCCCCTGGTCTCCCCCGAGGTAAGTGAGGGGAGGGTCCGGAGGTGGAGGCGCCAGGGCCCCTAGTGGTGCTCATTGTCGCCCCCGCTCTGCCCCCGCCCCTCACCCGCTGCGTGTCAGCCAGCCAGCAAGCGAGCGAACGCAACAAAACAAAACAAACTCGTGCCGGCTTCCTGTTGTGCAACCCCGTACTGAGTAAGTCGGGGGCAGAAAGGCCGCCGCCAGCCGCCTGTGAAAAAGCCGGGACCTACCGAGGGGACCCGCGGGTCGGAGCCCCGGAAGCCGCACTTGGGTGCGCAGCGCCGCGTACCCCCACTTTGCCCGCATCCGGACCATGGTGCGAGTGCCCGCACCAGGTGTTGTTTTGCGGTAGCCTCCCAAACAATTACATACCAAGACCAAGGGCGCGACCTTTCCCCAAAGTGTCTCCCTCCAGGTACTTACTTGAATCATCCATAGGATGACAAATTTGCCCGGGCCAAGGTTTACAGACATTTGGGTGAGTTCCTTGTCCCCTGGGTGACTTGTCAGCTCTAGTGAGTAACTTGGAAATGTCGCTTGGGGCAAGGTGTGTGTCTAGGATTGCCAACAACTCACTCACGCTTTCCAGAAAGTGGTCCCGGCTGACTTCAAAATAGACACAGGGTCATTTTTTGAATGACCAGAGTCTTGAAGCGGGACAAAGTCCCCAAGACTGAGACATTTCCCAAACAGTGCTGACATTTTTGTCCCGGCCCATAAAAAAATGTACACGCGAGGTGACGAACCCGGCGGGGGGTGTTAGTGTCTGAATGTGTCTGCGATTTCGTGGCGTGGGAGGTTATAGTTGAAACTTGGCGGATGCGCATCGCTGCTCCTCTCCGGACTAGAAGCTCTATCCTGGAACCCAAGGACCTTCCTGAACAATGGGCACACCAACTTGGATAAAACACAAAAGTGGAAAACAGCCTTCGTGGCGCTCCACAAACACGTGGAAGCCGGAAAAACAGCTACTGTCCCAACTGTGAGCGAAAGACCTCAGCTCACCCCATCACTCCCCGCTTCGCCAAAGTTTCCCCAAGTATGACCCCTAGGGATGGCGCGCACCGTGCAGGAGCGCTCGGTAAACTGGCCCTGACTGTGTAGCCTTCTGGAACCTGTATTTTCTTTTAAAAGGCACAGAGACTCTTCCCTCACAAGTGAAACTTCAACACCTTGTTGGTTTCCTTTCCGTGTACACTGGGCGCTCTTAGGCAACTGACAGCCAGTCTGACGGCTAAGTGAATATTGCCATCAGCCTCCGTAAGGTGTGCCTAGGTCTCTAGAAGCCCTGAGTATGGGGAGTTGGAGTGCCTGTGTCCTCAAACCCGCGCGAACGCCACCAGCCCGGCGTGCACAAACTATTTCTAATCCCGAGTTTGGATCTCTGCGACTGACCGCCCCCACACTCTCTAGCGCCTTCTCGCTCCGTCTCTCGCCTGCCGAACAAAGTTCCTATGGCATCCACTTACCAGGTAACCGGATTTCCACAACAAAGCTAGGCGTGCGAGTCTCTTTTCCCCGCCAGCCGGAGCGTGACAGCACTGGCGACGAGTGGGTGGGGGGTTGAGCCCCTCAGCGCTCCACGCGGGCTCTGCCTCCTTTGGAAATGAAAACTCGCATCCAAGCCCAGAGCCGGAGCTCGGAAACGCGGCCCGATGGCCGTGCGTGTGCGCGCGCGGCTGCGACGGCGGCGGCCCGGGAAGGAGGAGGCAGGGCAGCCGGCCGACTCTCGGCATCAGCTCGCTGTCCCCGCTACACACAGACACACTCCAACCATGTCTTTACAAAGTTGAACGCCGACTTTGTGCCTGGCCCAGGGTACTCATCCTCGCTCTGGGCCAAGGGGATGCGTGGACTCAGGGTCCGGGCTCGGGATGCTGGCTGTTTGAGCTGGGTCCGGGCTGGAGAGCGCCGGTGCGAGCCTGGACCCGGGCCCGCCGCGGCCCCGAGGTGCGCGGCCCCTGGCTCCGGTGCCCTTGCGCGCCGCGCTCTGGGCTGCCCGGGCGGCGCAGTAGGGACGCCGGCTGCAGGGAGAGAGGAAGGGGGAAGAGGGCGGGAGGGAGGCAGCCCGGCGAGGAGTGTGGATGTGTGTGCGGCCGCGAGGGCCGGCCGGCAGCCAGCTGCTTCCTGAGTGTGAGCGCCGGAGGGGGCGGGGAGGGATGGGGGCGGGCTCCTGGTCACCAGGCCAGCTAGTGTCTTGCTCTCCACGTTCGTTCGCACACACGCTCCTTCCCATAAAACTCCGGAGCTTGGTAACCGCAGAGAGACTCTTCACCTTTCTGGACCTATTTATTTGCCTTTCTTTTTAAACCTAAAACTATGTCAGTCTTCTACAGGACCCGTTGTCAGATCCTAAGGAACAAGAAAGAAAATCCTTGTAGTAAAAAGGGGAAAGGGGGAGTGGAAGCAAAAAACTGAACGATGGCAAAAGGGACCCAAACCTGTGGGATTGGATGCTGGTGACTAATTCAAAACTGGCCGTGGAATACAGAGAGGATCCTGTGGCATCTTCCAGGGGGTAAAGGGGCTAAAGGAAGGTAAGGAGAGAGTAACCAAGGTTTCACTTGAAGACAGGCTGGGAGGAGTGGACGCACCCTCCTCGAAGATGTTGCTTGTAGTATATTCTCCTCAGAGTTCAACACCCCCAGCTTTGTACCCCACCTAAGTTGTGATTCAACTGGTAGGCTTGATCAGAGCCCCTCAGAAGCTTTAAAAAGACCTACTGTTAGTGGATGCACTACGGATTGCCACAGACAACAAAGACTTCCAGCTTGGAATGCAATGTGCTCATTGCAGGCCACATCCCCCCAGTTAGGCCTCTGTGCAGTGAGTCTTGGTCTATTCCTCTCTGTGTCTGAAATGAACAAGGTGTCACAGACACTTAGAAGACCACTCACTAGTCTGGAGCTTGGGAGGTAGCTCAGTCGGTAGTAAAATGTTGTCTTAGGAGTGTGGAGACCTGAGTTCAGATCCTCAGAACCTATGTAAAAAGCAGAGCATAGTGGTGCACACTTGCAATTCCTGCACTGGTTGGAGCGGGGGTGAGGGTGGACAGACAGATCCCTGGAACTCACCGGCCAGCAAGTCCAGCCAAATCCGTAAGCTCTGGGTTCAATGAAATATTCTGCTCCCCCCAAAAAGACACAGAGAGAACAGGATTAGGGAAGATACCTACATGGACCTCTGGCTTCCACATCCATTCACAGATTTGTGCACACACAAACACCAAAACACACGTAAACACATACGATATGCACAGAGAATTTCTCTCGTCCTTAGAGTCTAGTCTGCTATTGTTCTAGTAAAATGTAGAATTTTAATAGATGCTTTGGACAGATAGAAGCCCCTAAGGACAGAAGTGATTTAGCCCAGAATACCAAACCCAAAAGGTCGTTGGCAGTTTTTGTGTTTTATTTCAGCAGAAGCGTTACCACTTCTTAATCTGTGATGATAAGCAACATCACCAGGGGAACCCTAGTTTGCACAATACTTTTTCTTGGACCTTATTATTAAGGTCCTCATTTCTTTTGGAGGGAGGCACAGACGCTATAAAACACCGCGGTATCCGTCAGCAGAAGTAAACGATGAGGGACTCAAACTACGCTATGTCACGCTGTCCATTTCCTGCTTCTCCTTCTGGTCTTCATCTCCTTCTAAATACAAATGCCCAAGTTCAGGATGGCAGTGGATGGCTTCAACCACACATAAGAAAAGAAAATACTCATAAAATGAAGCATGCAGCAACATCACAAAAACAAAGAAACCAAATGCTGGAAACTGCCGTGATTATTCCATTGTGGCTAGTTATTGCAACATGCCTGACATTCACATAAAAACCCATCCTCATGAAGTCTGCAGGAGCAGAGCAAGCTGCTCAAGCGCAAAGCATCCTGGGAAACTCTGCTCCTCACAGGCTTATGCCATTCTCCAGGCAGAAGCAAACCCGGAGTAAAGGATGAAAATGTAAAAAATAAAATAAAAACAAACAGGGGAAAAATGAACACTTTGTCAGCATTTCAGGTAACATTGAAATGCTGTACTTTTGATGCCAGAATGGTGAGATGATGCCTCGAGGCCTGAGGAAGCTGCTGAAACTTCTCACATGATGGGAATATCAAAAGCTGCAAGAGAAAATACGTAGTACTTTACCCTACTTTAATCAGTTACTCATGGAAATGAGATTGTAGGGGAAGTTATGAGTCATTAATTTCTCCCAAATTCCCTTCTTTATTTTGAGCCCAGGAGCGGGAATGGCATTTTTTTCGGGTGACATTTTCACGAGTCTCTAATATTCCTAATACATTTACCACTAAATCGGGACCGCGCTTGGGGTAGGAGCAGAAATGGAGCTCGGCAGTGAGCTTACAGCCCAAGAGTTACAGTGACCCTGGAATGCTCCCAGCACAACTCTGGAGTGACTCAGAATGAGATCGGTGCTTCTTCCAAACTGAACTGGTCAGAGGCGAGGGATGAGAGGCAGCGGGAAAGGAAGGGAGGGTGTCCACAGATGTCACCCTTCCCTTCCCATCATCTGTCCTTAGGAATCATGCCTGGCAGCCTTCCAGCAGGAGAAGTGGGAACGGCAGCCTAGCCAGCATCTTCCTTCCCTCTTCCCAGAGACCCACATTGAATTCATCTCAACCCCTGACTCAGGACAACTGACTCAGCAGACAGTGCCCGGCTGCCAGCTCAAGTGGACCTCGTCTGTCCAAGCACTGAGACCGAAAGAATTAGACTTGGCAGGCCCTGCACATCGGGAAATGTTGCTTAAGGCCTTCGCCTGCACCTAGGATAGAGGAAAACCTTACGGCTCTCGAGTCGATCACCTCTTCTTGCCTCAAAGCCATGACCGTGAGAGAATTGCCGGCACAGCTGGGTTTCCTGGCCCAGAACCCCTGGGTTCTGTCAACATTGTTGCCCTCCAACATAAAGGGATCCTCTCTTGACCTTTTCACAAGCACACTGGAAGTCCCACTAGTTGCTTCTTTTTGTTGCTGTGACAAAATATGTAACAAAAACAGCTTAAGCAGCCAAGAGGTTTGTATTGACATTGTCCATCATGACAGAAAATCAGAGAGATGAATAAGGTTGTGCGCCTCACTTTCTCATTTTGATGCAGCTGAGGACCCCGGCCCGTGGGATCATGCAGCCCGCATTCAGGGTGGCTCTTTCTTCCTCTGTTAAACGTTTGTGGGAAAGCCCTCAAATGCACACCAAGAGGTTTGCCTCCTGGCTGATTCTAAATGGAACCAACAGTGAAGATTAGCCATTATACACGTGTAAAAAGTCCACAGTCTCTCGGAATCAATGTTGATGAAGGCAACTGAGTGTGCAGAGAGGGAGGAGGAGGAGGCAGGAGTAATGCCCTCCAGTGTAGCATGGAGCAGCCTGGCTGCTTGAGCTGGCCTTCAGGGAGTGGAAGCAAAGCATCCGAAGCAAAGGCGGCTATGCCTCAGAGAGGCGCAGAAGGCATAGATCCTGCCCAGCTGCAGACTCAAGGCTACAGTCAGAACAGGCATTCATCGTCGTGCGTCTACAGCCATCCAACGCTCCGACTGTTACATGTGTGAATCTGAGCGGTCTAGCAGCGGTCCATTTACAGACTTGCGGAGAGCGATGGCCAGGGCCCTGGACCTGTCACGTACCCATAGCCAGAAACACATCTGAACTGCAGCTGGCAGATAAGTTGAGCTAATAGCCCCAATAACTGTATGCCTAGCTATTAAAACACAAGCTCACGCACGCACTCACACCAGCGGACAAGAGTCCACTCAGGTAGAGATGCAGTGGAAAAAGTCAGTGTTTGCCAGATTAAAGAAGGGGACTAAATGTGTAAGATGGAAATTTTCCATTTTCCCTTCCTGGATGAGTCGTACAAATAGCGGGATCCAGCGAATTTCATATTATGTTAACCCACGGGCTGATAGGCTAATAAAATTTGAGCTACTCTCGCAGCAACAGGTATGGCTGACCCAGACTCTCCTTACCCATCAGTCAATGATACTGTTGTTTTGTTTTGTTTTAAAATCTCATTTACACTTAACTATATTCATACCAGAATGTCCCTACTTTTCTGAGGTCAAAACTTTACATGGGAGTCTAACATGTATCACTTCAAAGGTAAACTGACAAGAGTATTTTTCTCCATATGGTTTCTCTCAGTTTCTTTTGATGAGTACATTTTTTTTTCTTCCCATTTTGTGTAAGCTTTAGGTGCCTCTCAAATTCTGCCAAGACCAGTGGGCTCTTTTCTGCCACATTCTTAAATAGTATTTGCAAGGGGCTGACCCAGATCGAAATGAATCACAGCTGTATACAGTACTGCATCGCGATTCCTCGGCTACTCAGCACCAGTACCGGCTACCTTCAGCGTTGTGAAGGTGAGCATGTCTGAAGAGATGTGACCTTGTCCCTAAGCACCTTCTACAAAGGTGGCTATAACTCACGTTTCTTCATAGGTTAACAGAAGCACCATGAGCTAGCAGGTAACGAATGCCCATCAGAGGAGTGGTTTTATTAGCAAGGAAGTGTAAGAATGGCAGAGACGGTGGCCAGCACTCGCTGCTTGATTTTGTCTGTGTGATCACTTCAGCACTGGAAAAGACTCTCAGCATCTGGCGCTTCTCCTTCAGCAGGCACAGGCTCTTCAGCTTTTTGCCTCCTTGAGGAAGAAAATCCAAAATCTCCCTGCCAGGCTTTGTGTCTGGAGGTGGTCCTGGCCTGAGGCCTTCTCAAGGGATACTCACTCTGGCTCACCGGAAACCTGGTCACTCACATGGCACTTTGAGTTTTATACAGAAAAGAATGGCATCCTAAAAGTGGATGAAAAGGGAGGAAATGAGAATGGAGGTTACAGGGAGGTGGGTTTGCTTGGTAATGAGATGAATGAAGAGGCTTGGGCATCACTAGGTTCGCAGCTGGGTGACTGGGCAATCTGGGTGCTCAGAAGCAATACCATTTGGTGGCTTCTCCTAGGACTCTCCCTTGAACTGCCTGAGAGAGCGTTGGAATAAGCTTAGACACGTTCTACACATCCAAAATTGCTGGGACACGGACCCCTGG